ACGGTCGCCGTCAGCGTCGCGCTGCTGGAGCTAGGAGTGGTGCTGGTCCTTTGTCTACTGGAGGTGCTGGAGTCGCTGGTTCTGGAGGTGCTCGTGCTGGAGACATTGAGGCTGGAGACCCTGGGACTGGAGGTGCTGGTTCTGGGGGTGCTGCTGCTGGAGACACTGATGGGACTCGAGCTTCTGGAGCTGCTGGAGGTACGGGAGCTGCTGGAGGTACTGGAGCTGCTGGAGGCACTGGAGCTGCTGGAGCTGCCGGTACTGGTGCAGCTGCGCCGACACGGCTGTTCTTCGCTCCGCCGTCTCCGTCGTCTCTGCCGCCGCCTGACTCTGCTCTTCGTCAGGTTGTTACTCTCCCGTCGTCTACTGGTCTTCCGTTACAGCCTGGCTCACCGCTGCCTGCTCCTTCTCCTTACACTGAGCAGACTGGTAGTCCTGCTGAGCGTCGTGAGCCTGCGTCGCGTCCTGTCTCGCCTGCTCGTCCTGGTCGTACTGGTCGTCGTGTTCCTCGTTCGCGTCAGCCGGCTGTCCCCAGCGCACGCCTCGTAGTCCGTCGTCCTTCCTCTGCTCTGCAGCCTGTTCCTCTGCCGTCTCCCCCTACGTCCTCTCTGCCTGCCATTCCGGACCCTGAGTCTGACAGGTTTCGTACTGAGCACCCTACTGTCACGCGTCTCCTAGCCACTGTTGTCACTGACCCGTCGTTTGAGTCTACTGCTGCGTCTGCCTTGGTCGCTGAGCTTGTTGACTTTGCTGCTGCCTGTCGTCTAGACTACGCCGCTAGTCTTGTTGCTGAGTCTGAGTCTGTCTGTCCTCCGTCCGTCGGGGGTGAGTGTGCTCTTAGCACGGACGTCCTTGAGGACAGGCAGGAGGAGTTCCAGTGTCTTGCTGCTGCTTTACCTCATCTTGTGTCCTCGCTACTTGCCCCTGAGGGAGACCCGGATGCACCAGACATCCCGACTCCGCGCTCTTACGCAGAGGCGATAGAGGGTCCCTACTCCTCTCAGTGGCAGGCAGCCATGGACGCAGAGATGGCTTCCTGGAAGTCCACAGGCACCTACGTTGACGAGGTTCCCCCACCTGGGGCAAACATCGTCAGTGGCATGTGGATTTTCAGGGTGAAGCGGCCGCCGGGTTCTCCGCCTGTCTTCAAGGCGCGTTACGTGGCTCGAGGCTTCAGTCAGCGAGAGGGAGTTGACTTCTTCCAGACCTTCTCCCCCACCCCGAAGATGACCACTCTTCGGGTGCTGCTGCACGTTGCTGCTCACCGTGACTACGAGCTTCACTCTCTTGACTTCAGCACAGCTTTCTTGCAGGGTAGCCTGCACGAGGAGATCTGGCTGCGCCGCCCCCCGGGCTTCACTGGGTCGTTCCCTCCTGGTACCCAGTGGAGCCTCCGGCGGCCGGTCTACGGTCTCCGCCAGGCGCCACGTGAGTGGCACGACACACTGAGGACTACGCTTGCGGCTCTTGGGTTTGCGCCTTCTACTGCTGACCCGTCGCTGTTTCTGCGCACCGACACTTCCCTGCCGCCGTTCTACATCCTCGTGTACGTCGACGACTTGGTTTTTGCCACTGCTGACACTGAGGCTCTCGCCCACGTGAAGTCGGAGCTGCAGAAGAGACACACGTGCACAGACTTGGGTGAGCTGCGCAGCTACCTTGGCTTGCAGATCACCCGAGACAGAGCACGTCGCACCATCACCTTGACTCAGTCACACATGGTGCAGCAGGTCCTTCAGCGCTTCGGCTTCACCTGGTCTTCAGCACAGGCCACTCCTCTGGCTACAGGTCACACGCTCGGACGAGTCCGTAGAGCCGAGTGGTCCTTACCCAGAGCTAGTCGGCTGCCTCATGTACCTGATGACTTGCACTCGACCTGACCTCGCGTACCCTCTTGGTCTCCTGGCTCGCTACGTGGCTCCTGGTCGGCACCGACCTGAGCACATGGCTGCTGCTAAGAGGGTACTGCGTTACTTGTGCAGCACATCAGGCATGGGGCTAGTGCTTGGAGGGACGAGCCCAGTTGTCCTCACTGGGCACTCAGACGCTTCTTGGGTTGACGACCTGGCTACTCAGCGGTCGTCACAGGGTTACACCTTCAGCCTTGGCTCTGGTTCAGTTTCGTGGCGTTCTACACGCTCGTCTTCAGTTCTCGGCTCCAGTTGTGAGGCTGAGATCTACGCCACCGCCATGGCTGCACAGGAGTTACGCTGGCTCACCTACCTGCTGACTGACTTGGGAGAGCAGCCTCGTTCTCCTCCAGTGCTGTACGTTGACAACAAGGCCGCCATTGCCTTGTGTGAGGAGCACAGACTGGAGCACAGAACGAAGCACATTGCTCTGCGGTACTTCCTGGCTCGAGAGTTGCAGCAGCGAGGCCAGCTTCGTCTTCGCCACGTGGCCACTCGGGCCAACACTGCTGATATATTCACCAAGGCACTTCCGTCTGGTGATCATCAGCGCTTTTGTACTCTGTTAGGCCTTGTGCCTACGTTTCCACACTTGCTGTAGTCTCTGCTTGTACTGTGATCTGTACATATATATATATGCATGCTGGCTCTTGCTAGGTAGCCATCACTGTACTGTTATTGCTGCATATATATCTCTGCATGTGAACTGGCCCTGTGGCCCTTTGCTTGTGCTCGGAATGCGTGGTGACGTTGTGATCCACCCTGAGCTTGTTTTGCTTCTCTTGACTGGTCGTGTGACCTCTTGTTCTCCCCCACTTTGCCTATGGGGGTGTGTCAAACTATATGTGCTGCATATTGTCTAGGCTGTAGTGAGGTAGCCCATATGGGGTACAACCCAATTTGGGTTTGCTACTTGTACTCCTGCATCCTGTTAGTTCAGTCATTCCTGCTGCTAGATTCTAACAGACAAAGGTTAGTGCGTGCAGAGGAAGCCTCTTCTATTTCAAGAAGCGCTGGAAAGACGGCCTTGACATTGTCGAATATCTCGTCCGCTTCACCCTGCCCGAGTGAGGCGGTCTCACTGACCGTGTCTTCATCGTTATCCCTGCAGCGTTGCGTCCGGCGTTGGCGTCGGACCAATATGCATCAGAAAGTTGTGGGGACGTGCGAACTGTTGGGAGAATGCTGATCATAATGAGCTCGTTTGAAATCGGCGCGGTGTGTCTGTGATACGGTAACAATGTAATTAATTTTGCGAGTTAGGGGGAGGATACGCACCCATCGGCCAATGTAGCGCCGGAGTATCGTGCAGGATAAACCATGTGGCTTGTGTTGGAGGTTGAGTGTGGTTGAAGCAAGTGGTGGTGGGGTGGTTGTATGCCCCCAACCCACCGAATTTGTTGCAGGTTCCAAGAAGTTGGGATTGACTTCGGAAGAACCTGCACTTCGGTTCCACATGGCAGCACAAGAAGAATCGAGACTCAGGGAGAATTCGATTCGGTGAAATTCGAGAGTCGAATTTCACCACTTCGAAATGTTACTCGAACATTCGCGAGTGTACCGCGGTTCGAGGTTACATGTGCGACTCGATGTTTGCAGTTCATATAAAATTGTGTTGCTTTGTATTGCATGCATCATAGTGAACATTATGAATCACTTTGTGTGAAGTGCATTCAACTACAAATTCCAGAGAGCTCCTAGCCAACGTTCCAAGAGCACTAGCAAGCACATAAACGCCAAGAACTCCCTCGTTACTTGGGCGAATCGTGTGTTTGACGGCTCGTTGGAAAGCCAGCAGAGTGCTCTGTCCTTTAGTGGAAATCCCAGTTCCTGCCAACTAGAGGACACGCCTCTACAACAGCTTGCGTAACCAACAGAAGGGCGACTTAAGTTTTGGAATTGGCGTTGAAGAAAAACTTTGCTGGAAAATGACAGGCAGCGGGGGGGCCGACTGGTTATCGAATATAACCGGTTGGCAAACAAAGCGAGGCAAGCCCTCGTGTGGATGCGTCGGGGCTGCAAGCTAGCGGGATGGGAGCTGGATGCAACACCGAGTGGGGGGTGTTCAGGTCAAGACTAGGCTGATTCGGGGAGGAGATGCCCAACTTGAGTGGATGGGGCGTTTGCTAGGATTCGAATTTCGAATTTGGCATTTGAGTTTCGGTGCGACTTGAATTTCGTATTTCCCGAATCGCGGTTCCGCAAAAAGACTACACGGGAAGTCACTACGGTATCTCAAATGGTCATAACAATTGTTGGACCATGAACAAATTAGGGAAACCAAGCAAGCAACAGGCTAGATTGCTAAATTAAAGAAAATATAAACGCATTATCAGGCTAGGATACTCGTAATAACTCGACACCCCATCTGCCAGCTCCGTTATTGTGTTGAACTCACTCAACCCCTTCAACCTCATGCTATCTTTTTTTCTTACCCCAATTCTATCATATTTTCCGTGTATGGCTGGAAATGTTATAGAAGTGCAAAATCGAATCATAAAGCGAACCTTAGCATTATATGCGCTTCCCTTTCCGCCCGCGTTGTGCGGATCACGAATTCGGCATTCACACGCTGACGCAACGACCATTATGCAAGGAGAGTCCATGTGCCTCCATTCCTCCTCGCTACGTAGGATGACAATTGTAAGCACGGGCGCTCACGCCGCAACTTGCGGCGGGCAGCAAAAGTGTTTGCATTCCTCCTCGCTACGTACGATGACAACTGTAAGCACCCGCTGGGCTGGGCGCTCACGGCGCAACTTGCGGCGGGTAAGGACGAACTCGCTGCTGCGGGGTGCACACTCTCCCTGCTCATCCTCCGCTCTCCAGTACCTAAATAAGTGCATGCGTAAGCTTGTCTATGAGCATCAGTTCCACATCGACAATCCCTCATTGCGAGTCCTTCACACTGACTCACACCGTCCCGCGAGACCCTAGCAGCCTCCTTCAAGGTTACTAACAATGGCCATTCGAGGAATTTCTCTTGTCGCGCTTCTGTCCGTGTCGGTGCTTGCAGCTCTGACCGTTACCACCACGGCCTTCGCGCTTCGCGGCGGCATTCCGGTGGAAGACGGAATCCCGACGTCCGCCATGATTGGTACCACCGGTAGCAACGGCGCGACTCGTACTATAGGTGTTGCCAGCAGGCGCTCCCTCGGGGCCTCGCCCAAGGCGACAGACAAGAAAAGCGTCAAGGAGGCTTGTGTAGACAGGGCCAAGAAATGCTGGAAATGGGCCGCCAGCAAGGTGACTAAAAAGGACGTCGCAAAGATGATGGCTAATCAGGCGGTTCCGGGCAGCGCGATAGCGATTAACGCGGCGGAGGGCGTCACAGCCGCGCGTAACGGGGACAAGGAAGGCGCCAAGAAGGCCTTCGTGAATGTCGCCAAGGGCGTAGGCTCGGTTGCGGTTGGCGCGGCGGCGGGTCCGCACGGCGCACTCGCGTTCAGCGCGGGGGTCACCGCGGTGGAACATGGGAAACACCTCGTGGAGAAAGGGTTGGAGAAGCGCAAGGCGGAGCAGAAGGAGAAACGTGACGCGAAAAAGCCGAAGCGGGAGTGATGGAGGATATAGCGCGTTTCAGGAGGCGAGGCGGGGCTCCAGCCTCGAGGCGCTGAATTGAGGCGAATCGGTGCAGTTCATGTACAGTGGTCGTGGCGGCGCACAGAGGAAGCTGGTGATGTCGCAATGGAAAGCTCAGTGAGCCTTGTTGGGGAGTCCGGCTGTCGGAGCCTTGGGGCCATGGGGGTTTTTTGGGGGGGGAGGTGCGGGTGGAAGGGGAATTAGGAGGAGTGGGGGTTTGAGGGGTTTGGAATTTTGTCTTGGCTAAGCCTGAGGAGAAGCAGGGAGGCGAAGGGTTGTGTGGTGGTAAGGTTGCGGTAAGCTGCTGCTGCTGCACAAATGGGTTGGGGTGGTACTGCCAGTGGTGGGAAGGGTCCAGGCTGGTGGGTGCTATGGCAAGGGAGATGGCCAAAACAGGGCAGAGATTATGTAGGCGAGGGATGAGGTGCTGAGAGGGATTATGGAGGAAATTATCATATGTGAACCTATGTCGGTACTGAGTGGGATGACGGTACAGGTAGAGGGGGCATATGCGGACTGGAAGTGTGGGGTAGAGGAGAATAAGAGCTGGTATGTTTGGAGATCTGCAGTGACAGATGTTGCTCCTGGAATAATATAAATAATTCCTCTTCCTCTTATGGTATACCGTACAAGAAAATACACCGAAGCCAATAATACGTCAAAACCTCGTCGCTATACAAGCCTAGTCTACAAAAGCAAGAAAGAGATCAGTCCGAAGCATGTCACACCAGCCACATCACAACCTCAAAGCCAGTGGAGTCTGAACTTCAAGGCAGTGCCTTACAGCGATGATAATTTTGAACTTTATTTGAGTCCTTTGTTAAACCAGTTGCACCGGAATCTGTGCTTTGAGGTTCCGCTTGCAGTCGGACGAGGTGGAGCTTCCGAAGTAGAGCGTCTGGCCCTTGTCGCCGTCCTTCACGGTGTACGCGTAAAAGCCCACGAACGACGTGGAGCTAAGGGTCTTCGCGAGGGTGAAGTCGCACACGGAGTAGCTCGCGCCGTCGCTGAACATTACCACGTTGTGAGGCATCACCCACCGGAAAACTGAAGGGTTGACGGGGTTCCATGGGAGAAAAGCCGCGGGGTTAAGAGAAAGCCTAGCTTCATGAGGGCGCAAGAAGTTACTCGCCGAAGGAAGCAGGAACATAGATCGACCAAGAAACTTACCATGCTTCAAGAACGTGCTATTCCGATACTGAGGAAAAATACCTAAGGACACTTTACAAAATGGACATACTGTTCCCCGTGGGAAACAGTCGTTTGACTAATATCAGAACCGCTACTATTGTGACTAACCGAGCTGGTCGCCGGCGTAGACTTTGGGGGCCTTCCACTTGCTCACGCCGAACGTCCACGGGCTGAACACCTGCCCGAACAACGACCCGTAGCCCTTCCCCACCACAATGTACCTTGCATCGGCCTGCATCGCGCCTGGAGAATTTGCAGAAGAAAGAAACGGGAAGCACAGGTTTGCAGAGTAATAACAAAAGGCAGAAAAAGCACCAATACATCACAAGATCGAAGGAATAGGTTTTGCCACATCGACTTCTAGTCGGCTTGAGAGTTGGTGAGAGTGTGTTCGTAATGAGCGGGAACAGAAGTGATGAAAGGCCAGCGAAAACGAAGCGAATGGACAGATGGAGGAACTTGACGTATTCCGCTGGTCGAAGCGTGCCGTGAAGTCTGAAGCTCGATTTACCTATGAGCATGAAGCACAGGAGAAGGAATACGTGTCGCCTTGATTGTGCCATTTCGCTTCACGCAGCGACACCGACAATGGATCTTACTGGAAGTATAATAGATGGTTATCTGACAATCGCAGAAGCAGATGATACACCCTATAATTGCGTGAGATGAGTGTGAGAGAAAGAAGATGCTGTCAAAATTGGTGCTTGATGTGGGACGTGAACTAGCTTTTGTACCTGGAAGTAGAGATGATATTCCCGGTCCGACGATCTTGATGGGAGGGGTCTCACTTGTACAGCATGCATCTGCCTGTCTGCAGTAACCAAATGCGTGTTTCTTGCGCTGCACCGCCATTTCTTGAACATCTTCGCCATCCATCAGCCACGGTGTGGCTGAAAGTTTGTGGTTCTGCGTAACAATCTTGCAAATGCAAATCTGTTGCGGTTCGGAGACAGCCAAGCCAAGGCGCCTGGGCCAACAGTTCCTCCTGATGCGTCGTCTGATTGGCTACCGACAATGGGTGTGGCCGCGATGGTCGGCGTGGCTTCCGCTGAAGCAGCTGTCGCTGTAAATGGCAACCAAGCCAACAAGCCAACAAAAAACTACCACGTCAGCCTGCTGTATTTTCAATGGCATGTGCTTCCACCAGACATGAACGTGGGGACTGGGCGGGCGGCGTCATACAACAAACCCACCGCATACGCGTCATTGCAATAGAGAGTTCAATTTTACGAATGCAACCTTTCTATATGTACTATTCTTCTGTCCACTGTTGTTCGCAACTTACTGATACTGGTATCTGACCATTCTAGTATCTAAATTCCCCATCAGTGAAGGGGATGCATGATGAACCAGAATAAGGTACCGTGATTCACATGATTGAGTGACTATTCAAAAAGAGGCATGTGATGTGAAATATCCACACCCATGGTATGGCAGAACACTTCGTACGTTTCTCTTACAAGAGCACAGCCCTGCAAAACCAATAACCCGACGGCCTATCACAAGCGTGCACCTACACTCATCTCCCTGCCACGCACAGGCAGGCTCAGCTCTTCCCCTGGAGGCAGCGGTGCAAAGAGGTCGGAGACGGTGCGTGCCGATACTTCAGAGAGTTGCGCCGGATTCCACTGCCCATTAAATGATTCATCAGAGATGTGAGAAAGCATAGTGAAGATAATCCATGCAAACAATTTCTACAACAAACCTATGAAAATCAGAGTTCTGCTACCACTCTTATCTCCCAATAAAACCCCAGGCGCAGCACCACAATCTAAATGACATTCTTCTTACTCCTCCCTCCCACAGCAAGGGCACAAGCAACAAACCCTCATCAACATCCCACCACCCTGTGTTCGAGCATCGAATATATTTCCCACACCACTTCACTCGCAAGGGCACATGCCCCATACCCTCATAAGCATTGCGCATACCCTCATCATTATTCCGCCACCTCCCTGCAGGCTCACTCTCCCTCTTCCTCTCCCTCCCCTTCTTACTCTCCCTCTCCCTCTGTTTTCCCCCTCTGTACCTTACATCCCCTTCGCTCCCACCAGCACAGCCCGCACCCCTTCATAAAAATCCCCCGTCACAGCCTCGCTACGCTCCACTACATTCCCTCCCCCACCTACCTTTCCCCCTCACACCCACCATGCCCCAGTCTCACCTTGGGATTGCCATCCTTATCCACCAGCACAGCCCGCACTCCCTTGTAACGAGTGACACGCCCTCATAGAAGTCTCCCGTCACCACCTTGTTACACTCCTCACCTCCCCACCCCCCCTTTCACACCTGAATTCCCCCCCCCCCCCCCCCCCCCCCCCCCCCCCCCCCCCCCCAACACCTTTCTTATTCTCACCTTGGGATTGCCATCCTTATCCACCAGCACGGCCCGCACCCCTTCATAAAAGTCCCCCGTCACCGCCTCGTTACAAGCACGCACGCTCAGCCGATACTCCTTCTGCAGGCACTGTGCCAGATTCTCCATTCTCCCGTCCCTCACGCTCCTAAAAGACACTTTTAGCGCTGTCGGCGACATTTTTGCGAGCAGCGTGTGGGTCTCCTTCGCCCACGCCGCATCGTCAGCACTCCATCCTGGGTGCGATGCAGACGTGGCAGACGCGTGATTCAAAAGGGCGGTCAAAACTCCCTCCACTGTCCTTTTACTAAAACATGCGTCGATCGCAGCAGCCCTCGCTATAATCCCCCCTTTAGTGGGGAGAACACGTTCGGCATGCTCCTGAATGGCCAGATGGATTGCTTCGGGGTCTCCCGTGCCTAGGCACCCGAGCCTGTTCTCGAGGCTCGGCAGCCGGTCCGAAGGTACAAAGTGGGTGGCAAGGCCCAAGGCAAGCATGTCAGGTGCGGGAACCCGAGCTCCTGTCAGAGCTAAGTACTCGCCTGGGAGGGGATGAGAGACCAGTAGGAGGTCGCAGGAACGACAGATGAAGGTGGTGAAATTTTCGGGAGAGTGAGCAAGCAGGGGAAGAAAGAAGCACCGACGTCGGGATGCCTTTCGAGTCGACTCAAAGGTGAGGAGGAGGATAGCACTCACCCATGTGACTGGGCAGGCGAGAGGAAGTAAGAAGGAATTGAGGCGCTTCAATAGTGAAGGAAAACGAAGCATCGACGTCGGGATGACTTTTGCATCGACTCAAAGGTCAGGAGGTTTTTGTGCGTGTGTGTGTGTGTGTGTGTGTGTGTGTGTGTGTGTGTGTGTGTGTGTGTGTGTGTGTGTGTGTGTGTGTTTGTGTTGTTTTTTTTCCCCAAAAAAATACCACAGGAGACAGGAGGAGGATAGCTCTCACCCATGTGGCCAGGCAGACGAGAGAGGAAATAAGAAGCACCAACGTCGGGATGCAGGCCAATGGCGGTTTCAGGCATGGCAAAGAGCTGATGGGAGGGGTGAGGCGAGGTGAGGTGAGGTGAGGTGAGGTGAGGTGAGGTGAGGTGAGGTGAGGTGAGGTGAGGTGAGGTGAGGTGAGGTGAGGAAAGAACGAGGCACCGACGTTTAAATGCAAGCGAATGGCTGGTCCAGGCATGGCAAAGAGATGACGGGGGAAGGGATGAGGCGACTCAGATCAGTGATGTGCACCTTGGCGTGGCACTCACACTCAAAGTCACACTCACACACACTCAAAGTCACACTCACACACACTCAAAGTCACACTCACACACACTCAAAGTCGCACTCACACACACTCAAAGTCACACTCACACACACTCACTAACACACAACCAGATTTACACGGTGGAGTTCACACCCACTCACACACAGTCGCTCGCTCACTCACTCACTCACTCATAGCATTATCAGTGACAACGTGGAATGCCCATGCACAGAGATGCTGTTACCCCCCACCAAACACCACATCATTGAGAAGAGGCAGATGCGCTCAGTGTGAGCACTCACTCACACTCACTCACACTCACTCACACTCACTCACACTCACACACACTCACTCACATATTCTCCTTCACGGTCATACTCACAAATTCACTCACTCGCTCACTCTCTCGCACCCACTCACAGCGTTCTCAGTGACCACACGGAATGCCCCATGCACGGAGATGCCGTTACCCCCGCCAAACACCACCCCGTTGATCAGCGCCACGTGCGGCTTGGTGAGCGTGGCGATGAGGTGGTTCAGCTGGTACTCTGTTCGGAAAAACTCGCAGCACTCGTCGACCTGTGTGACGGGGTGTGGGTTGAGGGGGTTGAGGGGAAGGACAGGGAAGGCCATACGAAGGGGCAAACAGAAGCATGTTATGTGGGGCTTGGTGAGCGTGGCGATGAGGTGGTTCAGCTGATACTCTGTGCGGAAGAACTCACAGCACTCATTGACCTTGATGGGAGGAGCAGAGGGGAGGGAATCAGGAAAGGACAAAAGAAGCGGCAAACAGAGCATGCTATGTGCGGCTTGGTGAGTGCGGCAATGAGGTGGTTCAGCTGATATTCTGTGCGGTGAGAGGGTGGGGGGGAGAACAGGGAAGGGGCAGAGTGGTGGGTCACAGCACTCTGCGACCTGTGGTGGGGAGGGGGGGGGGGGCGAACAGGGAAAGGGCAGAGTGGGGCAAAAGGGAATCGACGCATATTACGTGCCGCTTGGTGCGGGGGACAATGAGGTGGTTCAGCTGATACTCCAGCCGACTACCAGTTGGTCAATCCAGCATGCTTGCGTGATCAACACTGCCCTGCTCACTCACCTTGCGTTGTTTCCCCTGTCGGTAGACCGTTCACAATTCGCAAAAGTCAATCCAGCATGCGTGCACAACACAACTCACCTTGCCCTGCTGACTCACCTTGCCCTGCTTCCCCTGCTGGTATACAGTCCGCACATCGCCGCCCGCACAGAAGGCGCGCCCATTGGCCTTGAGAAGGATCATCTTGACCGTTGGATCCTTCTCCCACTGGCCGTACAGCTGCTTCATCCGCCTCACCTGGTCGAGCGAGGGCAGAAGGCGGGAAATAGAAGCGGTGTGGGGGGGTTGGGGGGTGGGGAGGCGGGGAGGCGGGGGGGGGGGGGGGCGTTGTTTACTGATGCTATTTAAGTTATGCCTCTCTTGACTCTTTTCGTCACATGGAATCTCATCTCACCTCATCTTGTGTCCTCATGTTTTATCCGTTCTCCCATGTTATATTTTCACATCAGCTTTCATTTCAATCTCATTTCATATCTGATCTCCGCACATAAATTCTCAATGCATCTTGCTTCCTCACATCAGATCTCTTCTCCTCAGGTCACATCAATCTCATATGATCTCAAGATATGTCATCACACATCACATCATCACCATCACCATCACCATCACCATCACCATCACCATCACCATCACCATCACCATCACCATCACCACCACCATCACCATCACCATCACCATCACCATCACCATCACCATCATCACCATGATCCCATCACATCACTGCCATCATCAACATACACACCATGTACGTGTCGAGAGAGTTGAGAGCCTTGGGCCGATTCAGAACCACCGTGGCTGCTAACGTGTCCTTCTCCACTACAATCGTCTCCTCGGATGACGCCATCGCTGACGTGGATTGCGTCGCGGTTTGAGCTTGTGGTAGCAGTGACGAATGGATCGAGCGCCGTCGATCTAACGTTCCGACTCGGACGGTGGGACCGATAGTAACAGATCCACCGGTTAAAGAACCTTGTCGAAATATCGAAGGAGAAGGAATTGAAGAAAGTCCCCTACATCCGATCCCCGTTACAGAAACTTCCGTTAACGGATTGCTGGTCCCGATACAAGCAGAACCGTTACAGGCGACCGGCTCAACGGATAACGGTGCGAACCCCAGCGCCTGCAGTAACGGTCGGCTGGTGCGGGAAGCGCGGAGGATTGCCGTGCCGCGCCGCATGAAGCGCCGAAGGATTGGCGGAAGATTTGAAGCGATGTGACACAAGGCGGGTACGCGGTGCGGATTCTGTCGGCCGGGGAGATTCTAAACGACGCGGGGACCGAGCGAGGGAGAGATCGACTGCGTCAGGAGCAAATCACGGCGAAAGTTCCGGAACCGACCCGCTGGGATTGCGTGGAATGAAAAAACTGGTGGGAAGGCCGAGAATGGAGTTGCTGATTTGGATGGGGCAGGATCTAGCGTGGCCTTGACGCAGCAGGACTCATGTGGTCCCAATAACAAAATAACAGCATTTCTTACCAATACCATGTCAGTTTCTTGCCTAAAATTATAAACGGAGACGCTTGTTCTGCTTATTCCATGGAACTGTAGTTTCGTGCAGTTTCGTGTAGTTTCGTCCATGGCAGTTTCGTGTAGTTTCGTGTAGTTTCTGTAGTCGCTGACCCTCTGTCGCTGTCTCCTTCGCTGCTAGGGCAGTGTGGGCGTTCCATAGGAGTGGCGGCGAGGGAGTGGGAGCGTCGCAAGACGGGCGATTACGCGCCTCTGCTTGCACGCAACCCGGGCGTGCAGTTCACCCCTTTGATAGTGGAGACGTGGGGGAGTCTAGGTGGACGGTTTCGGCGGTGGCTTTGTCAACAGGGGGATGCACACTTGGGGCTAGCGGTGTCTCGTGGGGCATGTCGAGAGGACGACCATTCGTTTTCGGCTTATCTGATGGGGTCTTTGAAGGGGCTCATCGGGGTGGCGTTACAGCGGGCACAAGCCCGTGTTATTCTGCTTCGCGCGGCGTCTTCCATGGGGGGTTTGAACGTGGATTTGGTGGACAGGGAGGAGGACGATGTCGAGATGGAGGGTGAGGCTCTCTGGGTGGAGGCCCCTTACATGATGGATGCTCGGATGTGAGCTGAGTAGGGGGGGGAAATTGGGGGGCTGTCTGGGGTGTCTCGGTTGGGTGTATGGATTGGGTGTTTTGATTGGGTGTCTTGATGGGGTTTTTATTATGTATGTGCTTTTAGGATCTGGGTGTCTTGATGGGGTTTTTTATGTGTGTGCCAAACGTAGTGGTTTGGTAGAAAATGAAACGCAATTTCTGCTACGATCAGAGAATGATCGTTAACCAGGATCTACTCGGGAAGGTTCGCACACAGGGAAATGTAGTTGGTGGGCCCGTGACCTCAATAGCAGAGTGAATGTAAAATGCTTGAGATGATTAAAACATGCAAATACAGCAAGTATAAATATGAGTACAGGGAAGGCGAAACGTCCTAGCTAGCCATGTACTCTAAGGGGTACATTCCCTTATTCAAATGCATTCCCAACCGTGCGGCGCGTACAGTTTCGTAACTGTTCCCGCCAAGAACATCCTGCCTGCAGCTGTCCGATGCCGTCTGCTTCCGACGGTCCAGATGCGTCCCAACTGTCTGACACTTCGAGTCAAACTCCAACTGTCTGACGGTTCGCTTTCTTGCTTCGATACTGCGTGCTTCTCTTTGCTGCGGTGAGGAGTGCTCAGTAACAATTACATGTTACTATTCGTAACACCCCCCTTCACTCCTGGCCGTAGCTCGATTTGACCTGCTTGACCACGCCGCTGAGTTCGGAGCAGTGTTGATACTGCTGGCGTGGCAGTCGCTTCGTGAGGAAGTCTGCTGCCATGTCACCGGTCGGGCAATAGGTCAAGTTGACCTTGCCCTTGTCCACTTCGTCCTTCACGAAGAAATATCGCAGCGCAATATGCTTGGTGCGATTGACGAAACCAGGTTTGTTCGCGATGCGAATCGCGCTCTGGTTGTCGCAGTGAAGTCGAAAGGTTGGCGAAGTTGGAATTTTCGCCTCCTGCAGGAGTTCCTGTAGGTAGAGGCCCTCGCGAACTGCTGCGGTTGCTGCGATGAATTCTGCTTCGGCTGACGACAGGGCAACCAGCTCCTGCTTCTGTGAGTTCCAGGAGATTGGCCCCGTTGGTTCGAGTCGGAACAGGAAGCCGGTCCTGGACCGTCGATTGTCGGGATCTGCTGCATGATCGGCATCCACATAGCCGACGAGATTGAAGGATGGGGTTGGTGCAGTTGAGTAGCACAGCCCAATCTTGGGCGTTGAGACGAAAAATTGCAAAGCGCGCTGCAGGTCCAGGTGATTTTCAGCCGTTGGTTTCCGTGAGTGCTGGGCAAGCTGACTTGCGATGTAGGAGAGGTCTGGCCTGCAGGTGACAGAGGCGAAGAGGAGGCATCCCAGCTGCTGTTGGTAAGTCTGAATTCCAGCAGGGGATAGGGCTTTGTTGTCAGGTTTGTGATTCGGTCCGGGGGTTCGGTAGGGAGTCGAGAGAGGTGCGGGTGAAATCTTGAACCGCTTCCCTAACTCCTCTGCGTACTTAGCTGCTGACAGATGAATGGCTTCAGGTGTGTAGGAGATATTGAGGCCTAGGAACTGCTTCACCTCGTAGTTGCACGTGATGTCGACGCGCCCTGCTAGGGCCTTCTCGAACTGTTCGAGCAGCTCGTTGTTTGAGCCCGTGTAGAGCAAGTCGTCGACGTAGACCGTGAGGAGGATGTATTCCCCGCGGAAATCGCGGCGGTACATCCCTAGGTCGTGGGGCATCTGCTTGAACCCGATTTCAAGCAGGATGTTGTGCAAGTACTGCTGCCACAGCCTTGGAGCCTGCTTGATGCCGTACAGTGACTTGCGCAGCTGACATACGCGCGAGTCACCTTCGCCATAGGTGTGTGGCTGCTCCACGTAAATCACAGCGTCCACTAACGCGTATAGGAACGCGTTTTTGACATCGATCTGGCGGAGTGGCAGGTGCCTTGCAGCTGCGATAGCGAGCAAGATGCGGACGGAGGTGTGGCGACTGACGGGGGCGAATGTCTGGTCGAAATCGATCCCATGCCTCTGGTCATAGCCGCGAACCACCCAGCGTGCTTTAAAGCGCTCAATCGTTCCGTCAGCTGCGGTCTTCACGCGGAAGACCCACTTCCCCGAAAGGATTCTTGCACCTTTGATTGCTGCGCGGTCAACGAGCACCCAGGTGTCGCGTGACTCCAGTGCCTTGATTTCCGCGTCCATTGCCTCACGCCATTCCTTGCTGTGTGGTCCAGAGAGGGCTTCGCGCGGGTTTCGGGGCTCGATGACGCGCGGCGCTTTCGAGGTTGCGGTGTGAAGTCCGAGCAGTTGTAGTCCTGAGACGGTACTGTCGTGGCGACGCTGCGGGATGACTTCCTGCACGTCATCATCGTCGCTCTCAGGTTCAGGTGGTGCTGGTGGTGCTGCGCCTCCGCCGCTTCCGCCCGTTCCGCCTATTCCTCCTCCTGAGGAATCATCGTCGTTGTCGCTGCTGCGCCGATCTTCCCAAGTGAATTCGGCCCTGGTGTCCTGTTCTAGGAGTGCTGCAGCGGCTTCGTCTTCGGGCGTTGCGTAGCTGTGGCCGTCATTCGCGTAAACGCGATCTGCATTCCTCTGTTCGTCGTCGCGGAACTGGTCGAGGAAGAGACGCTCGTAGAAAATTACGTCGCGAGCGTGGGCGGTTTTCTGACTGAGGAGGTCCAGTACGATCCATGCTTTGTACTCGTGACTGATGCCGAGGTGAATTCCCCAGCGCGCGCGACTGGCGAATTTGCCGATGGTTGATGTTGGCGGGCGGTACTGCACCATGCACCCCCACACGCGGAGCATGGAGGTATCCCCCTTGGTCCCGGTCCATTTGACGTGCGGGGAGAGATTCCCGGTGATCGCGGTGGTTGAAAGCAGGTTGTGCACCCGCACGGCGTGGTGCATCGCGTAGGTCCAGTAGATCGGCGGCAGCTTCGACTGCTTCATCAGCGCCCGCACCTTCGTCATCAGTGTGCGATTCGTTCGCTCCGCTACGCCTTGCTGCTGATGTGCGTAGGGGAGAGAGATGTGATGCTCGATCCCCTTTTGCGCCAGGTAAGTTTGCATCTGGTTGCTCCTGAACTCTGCTGCGCCGTCAGATTGCCAGATCTTTAGCTTCTTTCCAGATTGCCGCTCCGCATGCGCTAGCCAGAGCCGAAACACCTCGTAGGCTCTGTCGCGCGTCTCCACGTTCACGACCCACACGTAGCGTGTTCCAGCGTCAATGAAGGTAAGAGTGTATAGCTCGTCTTCGACGCCGCAATGCCCTACGTTCAGGAAATCGCTGTACACCTTGTGCAGTTTGGGGTAGCGGTTCGTCCCAGGTTCGAGCAGCGGGAACGGTTGGTGGCTCAGCGCAGCTTCGGGGCAGACTGTGCAGTTGCGCGGATGCGTTGCGCCTCTCACTTCGGAGCCATCAGGGCGCAGGAGTGCGCCAGGAGCGAAGACGCCTGCGTCGATACAATTTTTCAGCGTTGCGCGAGAAGGATGTCCGAGGCGCTGGTGCCAGAGTGCGTCGTCAGCGCGAAAGCCGGAGGTGCGCATGTAGCGCGCGCGGGCTTCCTCCGGGTCTTCATCAGGTACGGGAGCAGGTTCTGCTGCTGCTTCTTCTGCATCTTCTTCTTCTGCCGCGGTGGTCAGCATCAGCGCCAGGAACTCTCTGTCGCGAATCTCAGAGAGTGGGATGTTGGTCCCAGGGATGGTTCCAGGGACGAGGGTTGGTTCGCGTGGTTCGGGAGCCGGTCCGTAAGCGGTGCGACGCGGGGTTGACGGCTCGTTGCCCCAGGCGATGGTGTCCCATG